AAGGAAGAAGGAAGAAGGAAGAAGGAAGAAGGAAGAAGGAAGAAGGAGAAGGAGAAGAAGAATAACAATAAGAAGAACTTGTGAACTAGTCGACAAGTCCGTTTAACTCTGACGATATTTTCCTTTAGAGAACCACTCCAGAGGCTGAAGATCGATATCATCTTACAGTATGTCACTGGCCATTCATTCCAGCTTCAGCGTTTTCTGGGACTCTTTAATATAGCTTGTGCACACCCACGCACACATAGAAGCATGCGGAACGAGGCACGCGGGGGGGGGGGTTGTGGGGTCGGGCGAGCATTAGCTGAGCACCATGATCATCCGCCGTGATGCCTCAGGATATCGAGTCCAAAGCTGCCACAATCCAGCACCTCCAAAGTGCATTGAAAGCAAAGACACAGACCATCGAAATTTTGCTGGAAGCTCAGTCACACAGTTTGGAGTTGATTATCCCGTTACGCTGATGTAGGCACAAGCAACTTTCAGTTCAATAGGTCCATAGGGTTCTAAAATGCAATGTCGGTCCCATTGGAGTGTAGCACTATTTCGTAAGGTAGCCTCACCTAAGACTTCAACAGCACCACCCAAATAAAAAGTACCATCAACAGTTAGTTAGTTCAAGTTCATTTTGCATCCTTACTTGCAATTAACCTTCAGTGTTGCCAACCCTGACGCCTGTATTGGAAAAGTAATAGCACCACCAACCGCCAATGTATCTATTTGTCTACCTTTGCCTACTCAACAGTATCAAACACAGTCAAGCCTACACCTCTTGCAGTTATTAAGTTATATCTGTTCGCTCATCTAATTTAACTGTCATCAGTAGTTAATCTAATGACATGCTCCTTTGTATTTGCGTGTCTGCATGGGAAGCTGTATTTATAGCAGATGAGCGAGTTTTCACTTGAGACCTTGAGGTCATGTCGTACAGCACAATATTTGCAGCCCCTTTGTTCAAAGAAGGAAAAGAGAAGAACCTTGTTTCTTGTGGGTTATGAGCCCAAAATAAGCGCTCACGCGCTTGGGTTCTCGAACTTTTTTTTGCTTTTGCCATGAGCGAAGAAGCAGTGTCCGAAAGGACGCCGGAGAGCGGTGGACTTCGGGCGATCGAGGATGTGTCGGCTGCCGCAGGGGTCATGGCTCTACCATCAGGCCCGCCAACTGTGCTCAGCCCAGCGAACTGGAATCCTTTCTGGTCTGAACGGATGAAAGATGAGGCAATTTTGCGGGCAATCCGCCCAGCTGACCTCCCATCAGAATCCACGGCTTCTACCGGGGGGGTGAGGTTCCGGAAGCGGTCAAAGTCCTTCTACAAGGGCTGATCAGTGAGAATGCCCGCTTGTGGACCGAGCGTGATGCTTGGGGAAGTGGGCCAATGAGTTCAAGATGGGGTCCTCCTTCTGGTTCCTGGAAGCAGCAGAGTTCGTGGGGTTCCATGTGGGAGAGAGCACCTATGTGGGGGTCTGGAGGGTCAGCCGATGGTGGTTTGCTAGGACCTTTGACTGGTCAGGGACATCGTGGAGGGCATGTGGGTGGTTGCGCTTCGTTTCCTATAGTGATTTCGGGCCCCCTCACCAACATACTGCTGGACCAAAGACCAGTCTCATGGAAGTTTTCAACAGAGTTTCTTCGGCTGCTGCCGGAGGAGTGATGCATTCGTTGATCCCAGGCGTTATGGACGTGTCGAAGTCCCTCACCAAGGTTTGCGCAGGTGCTTCAGCCCTGGAGGCACCACCAAGTTCGACGGCAGGACTGGGTGGCTATGAGGCCGGGGTCATGAAGGGTGGCACCGCTCAAGTATCTGGGAGACAAGATCATGGTAAACCTACCTGCGCTCCTGGGGAAGCAACTAGTGAGCATGAGCCTGGAAGTGGGTGTGTCAATGGCACGCAGCTTGGCGGCTCTAATGGAGGGTGTGGTTCAGGTGGGCATCCTGGATGGGGAGCTCAAGGTGAGGAGTTCCTCGTGGAAACAGCTACCCAAATGGTGGAAACTTTCCCGGCGGTCATTTTCCTGGTGGCCCTGGTGGGGGTAGTTTTCCGGGCGGTCATCCTGGCGGAGGGTTTCCTGGTTTTCCTGGAGGTTTTCCTGGGCAACCTGGCGGTGGCGGTCATCCCGGCGGAGGTGGTGGCTTTCCAGGTCCTCATGGAGGGGGCGGACCAGGTGCTCCTGGAGGAGGGTTTCCCGGTCCTCCGGGAGGAGGAGATCCAAATGCTCCTTTTGCCGGACTTCCTGCATGGTTGGGCGGCATCATGGCCCAACAAGAGTCGGTCCGCGCAGTGGAACTCCCATCTCTGCAGGAACTGTCGGAGTCTGAAATCGGGCCGCTGATAGCTGGTGACTGGCTGACAACCATTGGACCTTTTTTGAGGGATATGAGCTCATCGTCGTCTTTGTGGTGGGATGAAGTGTTGAATGTGGCAGGAGCTCTCTACAGAGTTTGGCTGAATTCAGAGCCAATGGAAAGACTTCGTCTTGTTCCGGTATAGCTCCGCCTGCTTTCCAACGTCCTCCATGGCTTCGTATTGAGCAGAGAGGGTCGGTCGCGCTGCTGAAAGCCATCCCGGAGTCGATTCGATCGGAGCTTGTTTCGCAGCGGGAGGTGGGATCAGTCAGCATCATCTTCAAGATTCTCAGGGTGTACCAACCAGGTGGGTTGGGGGAGAGGACGACACTCCTCAAGCAGCTCGTCGACCAAAAGATTCCGTCGCAACTGGGAGAGTGGCTGACTTCGCTCAGAGCGTGGCGTCGCTGGCTCACTCGTGTTCAGGAGTTGGAGATTCAACCTCCGGACCCAGTGCTTTTGTTGGCAACGCTGGATCGCTATGCCGCAAGCTTGGCCAAGTTGTCATCGCAGGTTGCATTCCGTCTTCAAGTGACTCGTGCAGCGCTTCGGATTGATGTCGCCCCGACAGAGCACGGCGTCCAACAGTTCGCTGAATCTCTACTCGCGGAGGGGGAGGCGACGTTTCATGGAGGCTCCATTGCGCCCATCAAGGAGGCGGTCAAGGTGAAGGCCCTCGATGGCGATGGAAATGTGAAGGATGATGGAGGGAAGCCCCGTGATGGCAAGGACAAGCACAAAGATGGTGGCGATTCGAAGGAGGCCAAGGACATCAAAGTCGAAGGGGGCGAAGGCTGATGGAAAAGGCAGCTCAACCGACAAACCGGTGTGCCGCTACTTCCTCTCAGAGTCCGGGTGCAAAAAAGGCCAAAAGTGCTCGTTCCCTCATGAGTGGAAGGGGATCTCCAAACAAGGCAGATGCTGGACGCGTGGGTCGACGCAACACATGAAGCCAGATTGTCCAGTGAAGGACGCGCCAAAGGTCAAGAAAGAAGCGGCCGAGGACTCCAAGATCAAGGAGGGTACAGTCAAAGGTGGAGAGAGTGGGGGACCAGCGCCGGAGGCGTCGTCGTCTACGCCATTTCATCCTCCCTCTGTTCAACCCTCGGAGGATCTGATGAAGGAGGCCGTACAGCTCTTGAAATCGTTGAGGCCTTCGTTGAAAGCCATCAATATGAAGTCGGTCAACACTAAGGATGGTGTGGCACGGGCTCTTTTGGATGGCGGTGCAACTCATGTCTTGCGACCAGCCCACTCCAAGGAGGAGTTTGACAAGGCGATCCCCATCAAGGTCGAGCTTGCTGCTGGCGTGACAACGCTGAGACAGGTGGAGTCTACAGGCGCCCTCTTGACCGACTTCGACACTCAAACCATTGTGCCGTTGGGGAAGGTGGTCAGGCTCGGCTACAAGGTCAAGTGGGAGAGTGACTCTTTTGAGCTTTGGAGCCCCTCAGGACAGAAGATGAGCGTTCTCTTGGAGGCGGGATGTCCCACTGTTGAACTCAAGGTCGCCAATGTCCTGATCGCGGAGCTGGAATCCTATGAAGCGGATATGAACCGCAGAGTCATGGCTCTTCGCGCTGGAAATCCCGGAGACATCGCCCCGAATGTATGGAGGTGGCTCACTGATTTGAGGAGGATGTGGCCTGAAGTGCCCGACGAGCTCATCGCCAGGGTGGTTCCTATGGGGAGGTGGTCGAGTGATCAGGTACCTTTGAACCGTCGGCAGCGACAAAGGGTGATGGCAAGCTCGTCAGTGATTTTGCACTTGTTTTCAGGTCCCGACCAGTCGTGGTGGAAGAAGCAGCTGGACTCCAACACCCGGACGGTGGTTTGCGTCGACAAGACGGTCGACCAAACTCAGGATTTGCTGTCGGACCACTTGACGGGGTTTCTGGCGGAGGTATGTGAGAAGGGGGTCGTGGACGTCATTTTGGGTGGGCCACCGTGTCGCACTGTGTCGAAGCTGCGCTTTCGTCGTCCAGGTCCTCCACCTCTTCGTTCAAGGAAAGGTCCAGAGAGGTTTGCTCTGAATGATCTCTCGGATTCGATGAGGGAGCTGGCCTATGGGGACGCGGTCCTATGGATGCGACAGGTATGGCTCTACTTCTCGCAAAGTGCTCTTCCTCAAGGAGC